ACTTTCTGATTTTAATTGTACTGTGAATTTCATCCTACTGAAAATACAGTGTTTAGAGGATAAAGGTGCACAATGTCTACAACATTGCCAAATAGCTTAGGAAAAAATCTATAAATTTAGAACCATGTAGAAAGTCAATAAATGGTGATTTTGTGTCAAAGAATATGCAGGAATTCTTTTAAAGATTCTAATTTTAGAGTTAAAAGTTGCAATATTGATAAGGGTTCCCCCACAAAAAGCAACCTGGACATTTAAGCAGATGCATTGCAGATAGCCTTGAACCTAGCTTCCCCTTACTTTGCCACACTACCCTAACTTCAGTCCCAGCCTCTAACCAGCCCGTGTTCTTTACAGTTGGCCCAGTCACCGCATGTCTTAAAGCCGTCCTCGGCGGCGTCACCGCCTGGAGCCGCCCATGGCTCGGTCCCGTAGCCCCCGCTCCGTGCTGCCTTGCAGGCGCCGAGGACAGCCCTACTGCAGGGCCTTCACGGCTGGCCCGGTCACAGCACCACCTGGAGCCGCCCACGGCTCGGTCCCGTAGGCCTGGCGCCGAGAACAGCCCTCCTTCAGGCCCTCACGGCCGTGCTCACCTTCAGCTGCCCTACCGTCCGTCCCTCGCCACACAGATATGTGCTCCCAGCTAAAAGCACAAGATTTGAGTGTTTTAGCAGACACGACCACTCCATCAAAGTTTCTAAACCACAATTACCGTAAGTTCATGAATAAAAAAAACTTGAGTATTAACACCACTAATTCTTGATATGAGATCTGTCCGCTTCTGGCACTGGCGTTTTTCAGCACTTACACGCAGTCACTCGTTTCTCAATTTAAAGCCGCCTTTCCGAAGAGCCAGGCTGGCAGAAGCGGAACAGCTGCAGCAGCGGGCCTTCCGCGAGCTCACCTCCCGAGGCCCGGCCCGCGGCCCCGGCCGGCTGTGACCCTTGAGCAGGGGCAGAGGCGGCGGCGGCCCCGCCAGCCGCAGGGAGAGCAGCGCTCGAGGCTAACGCACAAGCTCAGGCCACGCAGGCGGCAGGCTAGAGGTGCCGCGTTTCAAGATAATAAAGCTCTACAAAAGCTATCAACTATCATTTTTCAATATGAAAATTAAGCAATATGATTACCAACTTATTTCCTGCTGGCAATTTATTGTTGCTAAGTTGTTAAGCTTCATTTCTTATTTATTCCACACTTGAGAAAATTAGTCAATACCTCAATTTTTTAAAAAGCTGAAAAACAAAGTACAGTATAATGTAAAATTGAACAAAAGATACAGCTTATATTGTATTTTTGAAAATATAATTAACTGAATACATCAACTTTCCTAATAAACATTTATCCTTAAAAGTAATTCCACATCCCAACAAAGATGTTGCCATTTCTCTGAAGTCAGTAAGCAATCCTTAATTAGTCCAAGAACTTGGCTTTTCCTCCAAGTTAAATTTTTAGCATCTGGATTTTTAAACTAGTATACAAAATCACCACTATATATATATATATATCTATGTTAATGTCACCATTTTCATTTACATTTACTTTTCAGCTATTAGAGACTTAGTGCTTTAAGTAGCAAACTACCTAAATTATAAACATGTATTTTCAAAACAAAAATCCAGTTCACAATTATATATACAGTGCAGAAGATTAAAAACTACATTAGCATGTGATTTCTTTTTCCTAAGGTTCCTATAAAGAATGTATGCTTGTTCTTTACTATCCATTAATTCTGTACATTTAAAACATTTGGCTTGACTTAGTCAAAAATATAAAGGCTAAAATTTTTATAAGACTAACTCATTAAAAATAGGACTCAAATTTCTAAACCAAGCCCTAAAACCAAGCATTCAAAGAATATCTGAATAGTAAATAGTTTTAGTATTTCTGCATGGTATGATGAGGTTTCACAAACAATTCAAAAGTTTTATTATTCAGTGATGGGAAAGGCCTACAACTCAGATAACCCACAAAGTCATACGGTTTTTACAAGCAGCAGTAATATAAACAGTTAATTCAGTTATCTTAGAGACCTCATCATCTACCAATCAACACCATTAACCTGTTCACAGAATGAAAATGTTTCTTCAAGTCTAATGTGTCCTTTAAAGGTTTATGTGTTGCTATTAAATGTGTTAAAAAGAAATAAGAGGTAGAATCCCATTTTTTAAAGCACTGCTATGTAAGCCAATTAAGACATTTTTATGTCACATAAATACTAACACCGCTTCAGTGAACTAGGTAGCTTTCAGAGAGCCATGTTAAACTAAAAACTAATCCATTTATGGAGCTGTTGTTCTCTGCTTATTACCATATTGAGTAACCATAAAGATATAAAAAATATCTTAAGTGTATTATTATGGGATTTTACCATTTCTAGAAAGAAATGAGAGAATTTTTTGGTAGTCACGGCCTGGACTAAAGAAAAGTAGAAATTGAAAATGTAAAGACAGAATCCGAAGGGCCTCAAGAACATCTGTAGTAACTGAGAGCATAATCTGCAGAACATGAAATTCCTTCCTTTCCAGTCTTCCAAACTCACTCCACTTAGCAGGGCTTGGGAGGCTGCTCTTAAAATTACATATTTTACAGGCCATCATGGCCTAAGCACAGAATAGCCTACTTAAAATATCTTCACTCTTCTTCTTAAAAAAAAGTATATATACTCATTCTTTTTCAAAAATGACCCAAAATATCACCAGTACATTTTATAAAATTAAATGCAAATTTTATTAAGGATTTCAAATTACATATATCAAATTTCTAAAATGGAATAGAACCATCTTGAAACTGGAGAGATGGCATTGATGAACAGATATCCCTTGAAACTCCAACTTTATTTAAAAAAAAAAATTCCTCTGCAGACCATATTCCCCCGATATAACAAGAAATAGTTATCTATCTCTTCACTTTGGCAACCGCTATTTCCTAAAGGAAGAGTTTTGCTGCTACTTTTAAGTTCATTAAAAATGGGATTCTATCTTCAGATTAAAATTTTTTAGTTCAGAAGAAGCTGTGTTCAAATGAGCTATGGGTACAAAAAAAAAAAATCACCGCAGAATGTCTAATTAAAACAAGCAAAATCATTTTGAAAATGAAGAGGAAAAACAGAAGGTATTTTCATGGCATTTTTTATGAACTACTCCAACTGGTTAAGGATTTCCAGTAGGTACTTAAAATCTCAGGAGGAATGGATAGTACTATACAAATAACAAAATGTGTTTATATTCTAAGACCTTAATACTAAATTTTTAAAACAGAAGCTCTATCACCTCTAAAAATGAGCCCAATGTAATTTTATTAAAACCAGGAATTCTAGGCTTTCCTATATTATAACCCAATTAGTCCACTCTGTCAAACCTTTAATATTCATCCCCAAAAGTAACAGTATTTAGCCTGAGGTATTTTAAATGTGGCTCTACAGTCCCTAATTTAATGGCATTTCCCGCCTCTAACAATGAATGGTCTTATCTCCACTTTAGTTCCATGACATCTATAGTATTTACTACAATATAGTCAGAATTAAAATAGCTGGAAAAAATCCTAGGACCCCTTGAAACAGCTGCTCATTACCTACTTCTGTTAAAATAGGAGCCACACAAAGGTCTACAAGTGTTTCCCGACTGGATCCAGAATAAAGGTACTTATACTTCGTTTACCAGTTTAACTATTCATATCAAGCCTTGGTATAATTAAGATGTTGAATATCACATACTTATGGTACAACAGGTCCAAAGTTTTGAGGTTTTAATGCAACTGAGAAACATTTCATAAAATTTTTAACTTAATATGCCTTAACACATCTGTGAGGTAGTTAAGTCAACAGTACTACCCATTTTAATACACAGTCAAACAAAAGGCAAGGGTAAATAAATGACACATTTTAAGCAGTAAGAACTGGAATTGACTGTAAGGCTCAGGGCCTTCAGTCTAGTTACGACCAAAGGAAATGAAATTTAACCTTTTACTCTTTCTATGAAAACCATTAAATCATTTAAGAATTTATCTTTTTTTAAAATACTTTCTTATTAGTAGATATAGTAGTACCTCTTCCAAATTTGGCACCCTTTTCTTCAGTAATATGGTAAACTGGGTACATAATTAAAGCTAGGCCTCTGCTTCTACCTGAATTAGTACAAAATTAAGACATTATCTTTTGAGAACTAAAATTATATGACATTTTTATTTTAGGCTGCAAAAACAAAAATGAGCAAACAAACAAACAACAAAAACTTGAAATAGGCTTGTCAAATGATGTAAATTCATCCTTTCCAGGAAAGCAGAAGGTAGATCCTACCACAAAGAAAAGATGCTTAGTTAATGGAGGTTAAATTTGAGAAGTACAATTAAAAATAATGAGGCATAACTTCTGAAAATACTAGGTTTTATTCACCTCCCTATGATAACCAATAACCATACTATTAGTTAATAAGCTTTTCTTATAGTAACTAACGTCACCTGACATACAAAAACCTGTTAATCTAAATTATCAGGTGTAGTCTTACTGGAAATTCTTAACCATATACTTGACAAGTTTTGCTTTTTAAATGATGAATTGTCTTAATGTAAGTCATTGTATTTCTGTAACAAAGTAATGAAAGGCACAGCTCTTGCAAGCAAACTTAAACCCATTCAACCAGCTGAAAAAATACTTTGGTTCTTCAGGAAAAAAACTTAGCAAGACAAAAAAATCTGGTTCATTTCACAGTTCTATTCATTTTCATAACTTTAATCTAACAGTTACACGATAAAAATACTCCAAGAAGAACCAAACTATATAGCAACGGACGAACATGCGTGAGAGATTCTGTGCATTCGATGCAGCTGGCAGAAAAACTAGTTAAAATGCTAAGTAGAACAAATGTGGTCTTTAAAATATCAGTTCCTTTCCTTTAAAAAAAACTTCTGAGTCTACCAAGAAAATACAAAAACATAAGGCTGTGAGTAAATAAGAGTTGTGTTTAGGCTATTACAGTGCAGGTTATCCTCAAGGCCACATACATCCTGCTTCACTGCTGCTTGCACTCTGCTGGGTTTTGATCCTTCTGTTAAAGGAAAAGAACAAGTCAATCTATCTTTTTCTATCTGCTTCAGGTAATTTTTCAATAATAATTATTTTAATTACCACATTATCTCACTGTTCTGTCAAAGTTTTTGCCAAATTAAAAAAATGATATAGTAATGATAGCAAATTATTCATTCAAATATTACAGTCACGAAAATGCTGAAAACAAAGTCCTGATTTTACAGTGTAGAATGAACTCCATAAAGTGAAACACATTAAAGTATAATCTTGAAACAGTCAAACAAATTTTAAGTCATATCACCAATTGTTTTTGCCTTTCAAAAATACTACCTTCATTCATATTTAGCTATTAAGACCAATTCAGACATGTCAGAATATTTGATTTTTAACTACCCTCTCTTACCTGATGACTAGGTTAAAGCGTCTTCTGGGTATTTTATAGCATAAGCCAATGAATAAATGCATTAAAGAGAAACTGGAAGTTTCTAGTGAATCCAGTTAACGAACCAAGCATTTGTAGGAAATAAAGCCCTTTACTAACCCTGAGATGACAACCTCCTACTAGGACTCGGATGTGGAGAAAAGAGATGACCGGGAGAACCTAATAGTATTGCGCCCCTGTTTCTGTGCACTCCTGCATTTAGATTATTTAAAAACTGTTAATAAGCTTTCCTTTGGAGAGAAAACATCCCAAACACCAGCTAAGTAATTCTGAATGCTTAAAAATGCCCCAAGATAAGGCATCATTAAAATAGAATCCTAGGGCTATTCAGGCTGAAACTATGAAAAACGTTAAGGTCAGAACCAAAAACTAAGTTTCTTCGGAAAGGTATTGAAATTACACGTACTGTTGATATGCCAGTGAGGAGAGATTTATTAAAGACTTTAATGGGCAAAAAGAAACTTTATATTCAGAAACATCAACTCATATTTAACCTGCCTTAAATTGAACGGAAAACAGCACTAATTTTGCTCACCTTTGGGTCATAGTCTGGATCATTTTCCTCATCTCCTTCTTCTTCCCCTTCCTATATTAAAGTTCAAAATGCATCCATGAAGTAGGTACACAGTAGGAAGAAATGGCTCATAATGTAGGGAGAATTTAATACAAGTTACTCTATAAGTCAACAGACTTTTCATGATTACAGAGTTTGGTGACAATGCAATTTAATTTGAAAGCTTCTAATATGAAAAATTTCCCAACACAACTTGAGACATCCAGACAGGTTTTATTGAAAAGATTTACTGCAGCCAACGTTGAAAAAGTTTACTGCAGCTTTTGACTTCTTCAAAGAGCTGATAACCCTGCAGCAGAACAGAATTATTTGAAATAAAAAAAGTGTTCTGAGTTTTGCAGTTTATTTATTGAAACCTCATACATACATTGCTTGGATGTAGAATTCTAAAACCACGTTTTTCCAAAAAACGTTTTTATCCCATATCATGGAATAATGAATATACCAATGGAATACATAAGTCACTCAATTTGCTTCTCAATGTGTTAAACTGAGAATTATTTGCTCATTTGGTAAACATTACCTCATCCGCTTCTTCACCTTCTTCATCATACTAAAAAAGGGAAAAAAAGATGACGTTTGAATGAAGCTAACAAACATCTGAAAGTAGCATTTACTTAATATCCACCACTGTACCCACTAATGTCTAAAAAAAGGAAAAAACACTTCGTTTGGCAACTGATTAAACAAGGACAATAGCTACCTGAATCACCCAGCTCAGTGCTATGATCTAACCTTGACAACACAGGATAATCATGGGTAAAGTATGATCAAGTAACTATGACTGTAAATATTACTTCAGTATGTAAAAAAAAAAAGGACCTAAAGCCTATCTGAATGATTGCCACTTAACAAGAAAGATGTCCAAAATATTGGAGAACAGCCTATTTTACCTTAAATTGTTCCTTTGTATTTCTATGAATAAAAATTCTATGCTTTCTAATAAAAGATTTTTATATCAGAATTCAAAAATGTCCAAGGTTATGATCTGTTTGGTCAAAAACATGTAATGGAATTACAAGACTAACCCAACATACTGAAGTTTTACTACTGCCAAGTAGCCTTCCTAATAGTAGGAAAATAAAAGCTACAATAAACCAAGCACAAAGATTCCAACAAAATCTGTTTAAAACAATTCAAAAAAGTTACCGAAAAGGATGTAAAGTAATCAGCCTAATTTTGAATTATTCTGTCTTGCTTTTTAACAGCTCCATCTATTCATTAAACCTCTCACCAGTTCTGACTACCCACACCCACACCGAAGGATTTCACTGCAGGATTCAGATTCACTCACATCATCGTCATCATCTTCAATAGCCTCTCCAGTAAAGTATAACACTGATCTTGGGATTATACGCTCACGTAAAAAGTGACCAATTTCAAAGTCTGCAGCAAGGATAGCTTCAGAATCATCATCCTGTTAAAGAAAAACAGACGCACAAAATGTCATAACTTACTAAATCTGAAATGTGTGGGACTGCTCAGTTTAAATCATTCATAGAAACTCTCAACTTCACTTTAAACACTTAAAACTAGCTCATGTGTGCATGATCAAATAGTCATCTACACGTGCCTCAGCTTTACAGGTTTTTAATAAAAAGAAAATGTTAGGAGGTCACTGTACCTACTGATCATTGCTTAGTTTCCTCTAGTTTAAAAGTTACAATAGCAACTTTGCTATATGACCTCAATTTTCTTTTAAAGATATTATTGAAAACACCGAATGGAATAATAGTAAGGAACTTAGGCTCTTATAAATAAAATTATGTATATGGCACATAATATAGACCAGAGAGGATCACTTCATACTTTCTGAAAGAGACTTATTCAAGCAGCTGGGTAGTGCCAAATGTCACCAAGTCCTACTTGATAAAGACTAAGTCAATCTCAGATTACTACTTAATGGCAAAGTACAGCATAGAAATGCTGCTGACATTTTTCAAATTTAAAATTATTCCATAATACTAAAGTTCCAATTCTGTGATACTAAACAATGAGTGAATATTCTGTGAAATCCTGAATGTTTATTTTTGATCCATTAACACAATCCACTCTAGTAACAACAACAAAACACCAAAGGGTTAGGGGAGAAGACTTTCAAGGAAAAATTCTAATCGCAGAGAGATGTTCTATCCATAACTACTCAAGACTGTTTTTTGTTACCATCAATACTTGGTAATAGACTTAGGCCAAATTCAAAACATGTCTAGCCTACACTGCATGCATAGATTTCTTTAAGGCTATTCCTCATTCCAGGCTGTATGCCAAGCACATTTCAGCTATATGATCACATATATAAAACCAAATTTCTACTGGAATAATAACCACAAAAAGAAATCTAAGCAGAATGTGGTTAGTGTTTTGTAAACAGTATAAATGACTTAAAACACTCCATTTTCAATAAGGAAGAAAACTTAACAGTTTGAAAACTTGAATCCCTCATGTCAGTATTTGCAAGTCTCAAAAGAAAAGAAAATCTTTAGCCTCCCACCATTTCTCAGTGGAAGCAGCAAAAGCATTTTCAATGGAGTAATTTTTCAGATGTGTAAAGGTCCTCTTCTCTGCATTACAAGCCTCAGTACAAAATACTAGCAGCCACTTTCCCACTCCTCACATTTGAGAACCGGTCTTTTAATTTTTTATATACAGTCCTTTAATTTTATACATAGTGAACAATTCAACAAATAAACAATTCAGCTTACCAGATCTCCACTCTCAGGAACTGCAAAATTGAGAAAAGAAAGTCAAATGAGTAACAAGTTACACAGAGCTTATAATAAAACAACCATAAATACTCAAAGTAAAACACTATTTACCTTCAGGAGGGGCAAAAAAATTAAAGAAAGAGTCATTAGAGACTGTCTTGGTCACAGTACGAACTGTCCCACGTCCCTTGTGCTTCTGCTTCTTCTTAATCGTTTTCAAAGTGACATTCTTCCCTTTTTTCCAATCTATCTGGCACCTTCCAAAACAAAGGGAAAAGAATGTCTATCACAATTAACACATTTACTTTCAATTGCTGGAAAGCTGACATTTTTTTAAGTAAATGTTTTATTTCCCAATTTTAGAGGGGAAATTTGTGCTTCTTTCTGTAGCATAGTATATGCTACATATGTATGTAGTATAGAGAGAAATTTTTATTTCTAAACAAATTTTTTCAACAAATATGTTTATAATCACCACAAACTCACAATATAATACATTTAAATGTGTACTCCTTTGGAAAAATATTATGGTCCATGGAGCATCCTGCACAAATTGGTAAGCCCTTCTCAGAAAACATTTTATTGAAATATTTGGAGATAAAACTATGTATGTGTGTACCAAGCAGACACACTAGAAAATAATATCACAAATAATAAGTAAAACAAAAATAGATGTAGCACTCTATTAAAGTAGTAAAATGAAACTCACCCTGTACAACCCATAATTTCTGGTCCATCAAAAGAAAAGGGATCAGAATCATCTGGTTCTGACCTCATCCTATATGTCTTTGTCAACACTTCATTTGTGAAATATTCATTGGGTTCAAAGTGAAATTCTAAGACAAAACTCTTTAAAAAAAAAAAAACAGAAAAAACATCAAATTAAACTTTTACATGATAAAATTTCAATGCTTTAGTAAATAAAGCTTAATCTATGATTTTTATAAACATAAAATTTTAAGTGACAAAGTCCTATTCCGGGAAAAAGTCATGTAAATCCCAAATTACCTTAAAAGCAAAATATGGCACCAAATAACCTGAGCAAAACTTAGCTCAGTTTACACCGTTTAGTAACATGTTTATGAAATAGGTTAGGTACAGCTGAACAATCTCTCCCTTCTTCCCTCCAACTCCCCATCTCCCCAGAGAGGACTTTCAATCCTAGACTGACAAGAGAAAAAGGCCCAACCTAGAACCTTTGCCCATGCTTTCCATAACCTGATGGTTTCAGGGAAACGCGGTTGGCTGATCTTCTGTAATGAAGAAGTAAGAACCCTCTAATACCTTCTGTTCTATTTACTTACCAGACATGTTTTTCAATACAGAATAAGCATTTTCTTATTCATGTTACTTTGCTGTTATTTTTAAAACATTTTAATTCAGTATCAGAAATGGGACAATTTTTACAATCAGAGGGAGGAAAAGGAATAAATATAGCATCACAACTATCACCATGAGAACTTTAATTCTGACTAACAATTGAAAATACCAAATATCAGTTTCAATTTCTTCTCAACTCCCTTGTCTAATTGTTGAACGTCACCTTTCTTTATAAAGTTCCATTGATCTACTTTGTAAACATCTAATGCTACAAAACTGGAAATATTTCAAGATTCTTTTACCATAGGTTGACCAGCATCTGAGAACTTCACTTTAATATCTTTCAAGTGCTTCAGAATAGGTTCATCATGTTCCTTTAAATTTAAAAAAAAAAAAAAAAAAAGATCAAAACGAGTATCTAAATGGCATTTTAAGACTAGTGTTCTTCTATTGGACGATATGCATTTAACCGACTGAGACATTTTATTGATGTTTTATGTATAATTATGAACCTTAAGATTTACTCTCCAGGTTATGCCTTACACTGAAGCTAGTTCAAAAATGTTTCCTGATCATAATTGCTACCATTTCCAGTTGCTTCTTGTTCCTTTACTACTTTGGTAAAAAACAGAAATGCAATAAGCTGTCACTGTTTTGAGATAGTTTCTTTTTCTTGACATTAACTTCCAACAATCACAACATAAGTTAACAAGTAATAATGCAGATGAAAAGTGGCCCAAGAAATGATTCAGATTAGGAGAGGGCAAGTTTCCCAAAGGTGACATCTATATTGGTTTCCCAGAGAAAAGGACAATTATTAAAATAGGTAAGTAAAGAATCTGCCCGTCAATGCAGGAGACACAGGAAGACTAAGATTCAAGCCCTGGATCGGCAAGAATTTCCTGGAGCTGGGAAAGGTAACCCGCTCCAGTATTCTTGCCTGGAAAATTCCATGGACAGAGGAACCTGGTGGGCTACAGTCTATGGGGTCCCAAAGACTCAAATATAACTGGGCATGCACACACACACATGTTTACAGTGTTCTTTGACAATGTAAATATTCCTTGGAATAGTTTCAGACTGAAAAAGGTCTCTCTGGTCAGACAATCAAAACAACCCACCATAACCTCCATACTCCGCCATCTAAAACCAAAAGGCACAGGGCTATGTGAGAATTACAGTGAAATGAGCAATTATCTAAGAAACCATTTCATTATTTAATTTTTGGAAATGAATTGTAATCTATTTGATTACATTAATCAAAGCTGCAATTCCCCTTCTACCAATAACAGCTCTTTCAAAGAAAGCCATCATGGGAATTCCCTTGCAGTCCAATGGTTAGGTTTCTGTGCTTCCAACGTCAAGGGCCCAGGTTTGATCCCTCATCGGGGAACTAAGATTCCCATAAGCCTTGGAGCACTCTTTTCCCCTCAAAGGCAATCATTCTATAAAAGTCAACAATACAGAGCCCAGTCATCACAGTCATTTACATTTCACAAGTTTACTCACTGAGGTAAACTGGTGTTTTATGAATAAAATTACCTGAACCATATCACTGAGCAAGTCGACATTCTTAAAAACGGTCAACCAAAACTCAGGAATTCCCTTGGGATCTTCTTTTTCTTCATCCTTTTTCTCATCTTCAATCTTGGCCTTTTCTTTTAGCTCCTCCTTAATAAAAGACAGCATTAATGAATGCTGGATATCTAGATTAGACATCTTGATAAAATGTTTTACATTCAGGACCCAACAAACCTTCAACTAATTCTAACATTCAGCCAAAGAAATTCTAGTCTAATTATGTATACACTGCTGTTACCCACAGCAAACCTTTACTTCTATAAATACTTACCATACCATATCCCTCCCAAAACAAAGCTACTAGGACCGTGAGCTGTAGAGAAAAAAATTTCAGCTTCATGGAAAAACAAAAAGACTGAAGCACAGTAAAGAGAAAAAGCAAAAGAAACATAAACCTTGTTTACTGCCTCACTCATTGGTGCTCTTAATTAAAATATATTCTCTTAATCAAGGTTAAAACATGAACACTGGAGAAATGAGATCACGTAACAGGGCACCGGATCTGTGTCACAGCTCTGCCATCTGTAAAGGTGGGCAGGCCACTTAGAAGCCTCCACCTCCACTCGAAAAATGGAAACAATCCTTTTGTATGTCATCATGAAGTTCAAAGTAAAAGTTTATATAAATCCATAAACTTTAATTACTATAAAAATACAAGGAAAAAGTAAATTTGGGTATAGACAGTGCCAGGCTAACAGTGGCTTATCTGCACTCATATCCATCTCACAATAAAAAAAAATTCCCAAAGTATAAAAACATACTAAAGATAATACCAACCGAAATTTCATCTTCCTCATCTGGTTTCCATTCACATTCTTCTTCTGTAGGTTCATAAATGGCATTAATGATCTCAAATCGCTGAAATGATTAAAAAAAAAACTTGCATAAAAACTCTGGCATCCAAGCTAAAAACTGTTTCTCATTAACACTCATAGATTAAATGACTTCATACCACAAGCTGAACTATTATTACTGATAGTTTTCCCAAATATCTTTAATAACCATTTTGCTGAGAGGTCTAACAAGTTTGTTTATATTTCCAAAGCTTTATTATCTTCTTGAATTTTAGATAAATAAAGTATTAGAAAGCATTACCTTATCAAACAGAGGCTGATAAAGAACAGCATACTTTCTTTCAAGATCATGAACTTCCTCGTAGAATTTGGCTTCTATCTGTGCACATTTAACTTGAAGGTTTTTAAGAGCATTTACTCGTCTTTTAACTACCCTAGGCAAGCTGAAAGGTTAGAAAACACCAGTTACACAGCATCACAGTAAAACACAAGTCACTTTTGTCATATTGAAACTGAAGCATAAAAGTTAGTGAATGACGCTCATAGTTAGCAACATGCAGGCTCATTCATGTCCGATTCTTTGCGACCCCATGGACTGCAGCCTGCCAGGCTCCTCTGCCCATGGGACGGACTCTCCTGGCAAAAATACTGGAATGGGTTGTCATTTCCTTCTCTGGGGATCTTCCCAGCTCAGGGATTGAACCCAGGTCTCCCGAATGGGCAGGCAGATTCTTTACCACTAAGCCACCTGGGAAGCCTTTAGTGAGTGACAGGTTTCCTATTTGAAGCAAAAGGTACATTCAAATACAGACCTCATGACCATTAAGCATTTCAGAAGAGCAAATTTAATGCGGTGGAGTAAACCGATAAGAAAATGTAAATTGTATCACGAATCCTAAATCTCTCACTGTAATCAAGCCTTAGCACTGAGCTCTTCAGGGCTGGTATTTCAGGTGTGAAACAGTCTATCTCATACAGTTAGAAAGTCATCAACTGACTACCCTGATAACCTGAATTATTTTTTAAAACATGTACAACTGAGGGAATTCCCTGGCAGTCCAGTGATTAGGACTCTGAGCTTCCACTGCAGGGGACACAGGTTCGATCCCTGGTCGGGATCTATGATCCCACAAGGCATGCCAAAATAAGTGAATAACCACAAATAAAATATGTACAGCTGACCCCTGAACACAGGTTTGAATCACTTATATGCAGACATTTTTCAATAGTAAATACTACAGTACTACACAGTGTATGGCTGGTTGAATCCGTGGAGATGGAGGAATCAGATACAAAGGGCAACTCTTTATATCCTGTTATACACTATGTATATAGTTATACACTGATTATAGCTCCTCATTCAAGGGTCAACTGCATATCTCACCTGCGTCTATTATTATTAGGGGAAAGAAGGGGACCATATCTCTCTCTGGAAAAAGAATGATATCCTACAGCATGATTTTTTTTTTTAGTCTCAATATTTAATTTGGAATTTGAAATTACATTAAATAAGTACACAGTGTTTTATGAAGAGGGGAGGGGGATTTTTAAAATAACAGCTTTCCTGAAGTATAACTCATATGCTCCACTATGGGACATAGATTTTTTTTTTTTTTTAAAGAATATACACACCTAGGTTTATAAGCCCCTCAAAAAAATTTACTAAACTTGTGAATCCCTCTAACACCCAAAAAACATTCACTCAGGCAGTTTGTACAACACATCCAAAATCCAGGTTAGAATTTCCTGCAGTAACGAATGGACTAGAGATTGACATACTGGGTAAAGTAAGTCAGACAGAAGGAGAAATATTGTGTGACATCCCTTAGAGTAGAATCTAAAAAGAAATGATACCAATGAACTTATTTACAGAACAGACTCACAGAGAATGAACTTATTATGGTTGTCAGGGAGGAAGGAAAGTATGAGGGGAAAGGACAGTTAGCAAGTCTGGGATTGACACGTACACATAGCTAGATTTAAAACAGATTGCCAACAAGGATCTACTGTGTATCACAGGGAACTCTGTTCAGTGTTACGTGGAGCCTGGATGAGAGGAGAATTTGGGAGAGAATGGATACATGTATATGTATGGCTGAGTCCCTTGGCTAACTTGAAACTATCACAGCACGATATTGTTGCCATCAAATTAATTCTCTTATCTAGCCACTTAAGGTAGGTAAAAACAAATAAAAAACAAAAACCTGAAGTATCAAGTTTTATTTCTTACAATTGAAAGTAAAATGTTCTGTCAAGGTAGTCTAAGAACTTGGTCACCTAGCTTTACCCTCAACTCCACATGTCAAGAAAAAAAAAAAATCAACCCTAGAAACTTTATGGAGCCAAGAAGGTGCCACAGTTCTATATCTCTCTGACAAACACACACACACACACACACGCACGCACCATGAGCAAATTCTGAGTGAGACCAAAGGCTGCTTTTAACTGACAGACAGGGTGAGTGGGCTGCAACTTTGAAGGCAGGGATGGGTGGTGGTGATAACCAGAGTAGGTAGCGGTGAGGACAAGTTGGAAGAAAGCTTTTGTGCAGCAAAGCCTTAAAGTTCTACATCTGCCTTCAACGCTCACTGCCTGTCCCCTTCACCCTTCACCGAGCCCAGTTCTCAGGATAACATAAAGAGCCGACGAAAGCTGGACCAGCTCAGAGCACGTAAGCACTCACTCTGCCCCCCACTCCAATCCACGAACAATGATTACAACGAAAGCAGACTGCTTCCTCCCAAGAAAACTGTCTGGAATTGTCAGCCCAGAGTCTGAGGTGACTGGAGCTCTCCTCAGGCTCATTCTGTCCCCTCTCTCTAAACCCCATGAGACTGTCAAAACCAAAGTCTAACCGCCGTCCCTCCCTCGATACTCACAGGCGTAACTGATATTGCCCAGTGAGCCAGAGAAACAAGGTCAGAATAACTAGGCAGTTCCAGAGTACTATGAAAGAATGAAATATTTAGCATCTGAAGCATTCTTAGACAGACTAAGGATTTAAACAAGAATGTAAATATATTTAAAGGGATGAAGGAGGATAGATACTATGAAACAAGACCAAGAACTCTAAAACAAGGTGTGAATACTAAGTATTAGAAATCCAGTAACTAAAACAACCAACAAATAAGATAAACGAGAGGTTCAACTGAAGAACAAAAAAAAATCCATAAGATTTAAAAGCTCTCAGACAGGCAGTCGCAAAGACAGAAAAGCTGTAAGATATGGAGACATGGATGATAAATGTTAACAACAGCCAAAAAAGAAGGGAGGTGGATTATTTGAAGAAATGAGTATAACAAATTTCTCAGAGTTAAAGAAATATGAAAATCCTTACTCGAAGCACAGACACGTTACTGAGACATGTAACTATCAAAGACAAAACTAAATTCTAAAGGTGTTAATGAAAAAATCAAATAACCTATAAAGGAAAAGGAATCAAAGTGACATCACGCTTCAAAGGAAACACAAGAATATACAATATAGAAGAAAAAAAAATGAAGTGAATCTTTAAGATATTTAAGACTTGGAACCTAAAATTTTCAGATATGAAGACCAAGTAAAATTGCAGATATGAAGGTAAAATAAAAATTGCCTATGAGGCTTTAAGAAATATGCCACACACACTCATATTCATTAAAAATAACTTTGAGGAAGCAAAAAAAGAAATCAAGGAGATGTCACATAAGGTATGGGTGAATTAAAAATTGGTAAAATTTACTATTGCCTAGAAGAAAAAAAAAACAGATGCCTACAGGAAGTACATTATTTGTGAATTTAAGAGATCAATAAGGGTAAATAAAGCTACTAGATTACAAGCCATTTTACTATAAGACAGATAAATTAAGTGAATGAAGATTTTTTTATACATCCATCCCAGAAACTGATAAAGCAATTAATCAATAAGCAGAAATAAAGAGAATCTGAGCAGTACAACTAATATGCCTAAGCTATTGACTTTGGCATATAGATCTTCACACTTAACATACCCGTAACGTTTATAAAGCTTTATAGCTGTTAAAGGTTTTTTTAATTAACTGAACTAAACATGCAATCAAGAAACTGGAAAGAGGAATAGAGCAAACCCAAATAAGGAAATAATGTTAAAGGCAAGAGGGAAAAAAGCAGCAATAACAAAAATGTATGAAAATGGAAAATCAAAGACTGTTCTTAAAAACACTGAGACAACTGGGAAAACTAATGAAGATACAAAATACAGAATATGAAAGAGACAATTAGATTTTTTAAAAATCTGAACTATATACTAATAAATTTGATACCTAGATAAAATGCATATTTTTATAATAGAAAACTCCACAATTGACAAAAGAAAAATTGAAGACATTAGTTTACCAGCACAGATAAGCTCTCTTCACTAGTGAATAAGGTAACTCCCTATAAGTAACTACCTACCCTAAGTAACTACCCAACTCCTATTTCCAAAACTATATATTTAATATATAATTAGTAAATTCAAAGAAAAAGTCAAAAGATCATCACAATTTATAAAGGACAAAAAGACCATTAAGAAAATCACCAATAGACACCAAATCAGTGAAGAGATCAGAATGCTCATTTTTGATGCTAATGCTTAACACAATATTGAAAGTCCTGGCCAATGTTATCAAGAAAGAAAAATTACCATGGGGTGTGATATAATGTGGAAGATGAGAATTAAAACTGCCGCTGTTTGCAGATGAGACTTTGGGGCTATGGGAAACATAAAAGAACAAATCACTATACAGCAAGAACAGCAAGGTTCCTGGACACAAAATCAACTTTAGCACTAACCAACAGCACTCCTTTGCCCTGGACAGCTGGAAAGGAAGCGGCCGCCCCTCCAGAGTCCTTGCGGGAAGCCCCATGCACAGACCGGCCTGAGGGGCTAGAGCACATGGGGCCATGACAGAGCTGGCCCGGACTCGGCAACCAAGTACAGTACATACATATATACATCGAACAACAAAATCGAGTCAGAAAAAAGTCAGAAAATACAGTAAAAAATAAAATAGTAGTCACAATAGCAATACAAGTACAGAGAAATTAACTAAGAATACTTTGTAATAAAATACAGAATATGATCTGAATAAATACGAGGACAAGGACGAGACAATTTAACACCAAAAAGATAGTGGAATTTCTACCAAAATTTTATTTTTTCTGTTTTTTAAGAAAATCCTAAAAAACTCAACCTCAACCATACATGGGGTAAGGGGCTACAGATGGTAACATCAATCCTAAGAGTGTGTTCCATGATGGGTGGGAAACGGTAGGAGAAAGCAACTCACTATCAGATATGAAGACATACTCTGAACCCACAGTCATTAAGTGGGACGATGACAAAAGAACAGGCAAAGAAACAAGGAGAGTGCTGCTGAGAGACAAAGGTGTTTACGAGAATCGGATACCTAATAAAGGAGGTAACAGAAACACATGAGGAAAGCAGGAACCGTGGAGGGAAGTGTTAGAAACACTTACTAACAAACAGAAAGCTGATCTGCAGAAGGATTCAAGGTCTAAAGGTAAAGGATAAAACTAATCAATAGGAAACATAGAAGGAGCAAGGAAAGACATCCTCAAAAGAACAAGACATAGGTAAAAAATTTGATGAACATAAAAATTAAGGATTTAGTGATGGAAACCATGGACAAAATTAATAGAAATGACACAAAAAATTAGTTTCAAAGTCTAAAACTGAAAAACGATTAAAATCTAGAACACATAAGAACTCCTACAAAACAAGAAAGACAGTAAACCCTCAAAAGTGAACGGGCCAGAGGGTACAAATGAGCAACCTAAAAGGCTCACTCCCAATTATATGCAAAGAAACTCAATTCATTAAAAATCAGAAAATACAAATAAAACAAGAGGAGCCTCCATCTCTTAGGCTGGTAAAGACAAAAACTATAAGGCTGAATGATGCCAACTGTTGGCAAGGACACAAGGATAAATCAACCTTCACATATCCTGGAAGTACTGAAGGCTTGCATATCCCATAACTATCAATCCCACTGGGAAGTACATACTCCAAAGAAACTCTCACACAACACCTTAAGAGGACATGCACAAGGATGACCATCACCATGGAATTTGTGTTGATGGAACTTGGAGACAATCCAGATGGCCGTCAAAGAAAAAGCATACAGTGAAGCATGGTGGACATACATCACAGAGAACCAGGGAACAGAGAAACTACTGACTAGAAACACATATAGACAGCAATGTGGGTAGACCTTAAAATCAAAGTTGTGTAAAAAAATATCAGAAGCAGACTAAGATATTTGGGTTATTACTAATAACTTTTATCACCAATGAAATAAGAAGTCTGTAGTTCTTCTAATTCTCTGCATTTCTAACAAATCTCTAAGCAAATCTCAGGGATGATTTAAGATTCATATACTTCCTATGGAGATGAACCAAAATAAACTTTAAAAAGACCAACTCTAAATCGGTACTTAGCAAAATTTTAAACTCCCAATAATCCTATAATGAACATTAGTTTTCCACTGTGACATACATTAAGTCCCAGATGACCTTAAAAATATTCACCTGCAATGCTGATTACAGAAAGACAGACTATGAAAAAGAAGAACGTGTACCTTTCAATGTATCCTGTTGGTGTTTCTACCAGACCATCAAGTCTTTCTTGAAGGGCTGCAAGAATCTGAGGATTTTGCATCATCTGAACAGTCAGCTGACGCGCTTTAAAAAAAACAAAAGGGCAGCGAAAGGATTTTATGAAAATGTATTACGCTATATTAATAGGGCAATCCAATTACGAAGCTTTCCTGACTAGCCCATAAATCACTGGTATGAGTAGAGACGAACAGCAAGCTAAGGAAAATTCACTCTAGGAAAACCTAGTGTACAGAAAAAGTTCAGGTTCCTAAAGATGTCTAAGGCACACCACTTCTCAAGGCCACTGCCACAACTATTATGAACACTATCCTTTCTCTTCCTCCTGTGTGTTTTACCCACCTTGTTTTTTGAAAAGTTCAAAGATTCATCCAGATGCCTGTCTGTGATCCTTGATAACCCTTTGAAGTCAGACAACACATAAGAAAACTACAAAAATAGCGACACTTTCAAGCCTGGGAGAAAGATGGTCAAATAAATGACCTGAATGATTCTTTGAGCCTGTGCAATGTGTTTATGTACATCTGAACAAAGTTAACAGTTGAGATAGTCAAAGGCTGTAACTAAAGCCAAACAAAAGTTGGTAATTAGTGGCCTCTAAAAATTATACTCCATCCAAAAATAATCTAGATTTATGCAAAACGAACTATTCTGCTATCTTATCTGCTGTCAATACAGACTTTACCAAAAAAATTGCATTAATTTTCCCAGTTTATGTCTTTAAAGATCAATTTACTTCTAATAGTAATTTGATTATTGGATGATGTATAGTTGTGATAACCAACATGCTTTTACATGTACCAATACTGGCCACAAAGATACAGTCCTATATCATTAGTTCAGTAGTCTTTTCATAAACCTCATTCTGGCCTAAAAATGGAAGTCAAGTCATCTGGTACCTTGATATTCTTGGCCCCTTTATACCCTAAAGTAGTATAATTCCCCACTACCCATTATTACCCCTTTTAAAAATAACTTGCTAAAGAAAATGTTGCGTGATTTTTGTCTACAGTTAATAAATGTTCTTTTATTGGTTGGTTAGAACGGATTAAAAACAGGCAGACACATTCCACATATTCTCTACATGTTAAACATTTTCAAGTCTAAGCTAATGTTGTTTAGAAGCGCCACTACCGACAACTCCTACCACTACCTGCTGCCGCTGCGTCGCTTCGGTCATGTCCGACCCTTGCGACCCCATGGCCTGCAGCCCACCAGGCTACTCCGCTCACGGGATTTTCTAGGCGAGAGTACTGGAGTGGCTTGCCACTGCCTTCTCCACTACCACTACCTATGACACTTCCAAGTTCAGACAGAACTCACAGGCAGCTGTTTGACAAGACATAATGTCAAACCAGCAGCAGAGGGCACATGCAGGGACCGTTGCCTGGTCACTAGATCCACACCTTGCTCTCTCACTCCGCCTCCATCTCCCTCTTCCTTCCCACCTGTCCCTCCCCCCCCCTCCCCCTCCCCAACACACATTCACACATGGGTATGGCTAGTCAGGAAAGTGGATGGTATTCAAAATGAGAATTTTTTTACTCTGTTTATTACTGTGCTCTAGAAGAGGAGAGCCAGCAATCACTGGCTCCTGAAGTAATTTTTAAAAATACCTTTGATTTTTGTTTCTTCACCAGTCTCTTCTTCTTCTACTTCTTCAACATCATCCAAATCTTGATCAAGTTCAGACTGTTCTTTGCTACAATATTACAGTATCACACCAAGGTTCAAATGTACCAATTACCCAAAAAAAAAAAAAATTACAGAAAACTTCAATTCATTTTCTAGGTTAATATGCCTCTTTCAAATACATGAAACAGGAAATCTAGAAGGTAATTCAGTTTTCAAACTTCATATGTAAATAAGTACAAATGGGAAGTACTTAAAATTTCATTTAAAAGCTTTTCAAATATAAACTTTATACTTTAAGCTAAAAATGTGGTTTGATGGGTTGTGATTCAGAGATATAACATCAGAAAGTATGTGCTTCCAACTCAATATCTACTCATTTCACTCTTCCTAGTAACAGCACTCTTGATTTTATATGAGATGGTAATACATCAATCTAACAAGTCTTTGTATTCCAGCCTACCTTTCAGCTAGATGTGGCTATATAACCAAATACTGGCAGTGAGGTAAAAATGAGAAGCAATGTAGAATTTTACTATCCTCCTTAATAGGATGGTAAACAGCTGGAGGCTTTTTTGGTATTGCTCCCTCCCTACAACAAACAGGGATATGACAGCTAGTTCCAGCAGCCATGTAGGACCACGAGGCATCCTGGAGAATGGAAGTCTCCAGCTAAGAATAAAGGAGTCTGAAAAAACAGAAAGATCCTGAATCTCTCTTAGCTGTAGAACAACCACATAAGCCTGTATCTGTCTTTTGGACTTTTCCTTTTTCTTTACTTCATAGTGGAGATGGAGAAGAACAGTAAAAGTTAAGGGGAAGACCTGACTACTTCACGCTCAGAGTAAAGCTAGGAGAAAGTAACAACATCCTTCCAATTTCATCTTAAAAATCTAGTTTTTTTACTGATTGTAAAATCAGTATTAAAATAAGGATATTTAAGTCAATATAAAGATCATCATACAATTCCTTAGGTAATTCTACATTTTAGTATTTGGTTTAGAAAATTAGTTGCTTTCATGTCTTAAAAAAGCATTTGAAAAATTTTCATCTAGGAACAAATAGGACCCAATTCTCATACAGTGACAACTACAGGAAAAGTCAACTGTATTCTACATGAATTTGTTTCTGTCAACTAAGGGTGAAAAAAGCAGCCTTCCCATCAAAAGCAACACAGATTATTTTGGGAGTATCTTTTATATAAAATTAAGCATATTTAGAGCTAAGGTCACTAACTAAAGATAATATGGAACAATTCTTCCCCTAGGCGTCCCCTCATTCAATCACTTATTGAACATCTAAACTTTAAAGCTTTAAAGCAAGAGTCCACAAACTGTCACATGGCCAAATCCAGCCCATTTCTATTCTTTAAATGAAGTTTTACTGGAACACAGCCACACTAATTTGTTTACTGTCCATGGTTTCTTTCACACAGCAGAACTCCCCTGGTGGTACTGTAACGGCAGGGCTGAAGAGCTGCGACACAGATCACATGGCCCAAAACGCCTAAAATATCTAGGGTCAGATCCTTTACAGAGTCTGCTGACTCCTGCTTTGAAGAACAAGGATCCCCTCTCTTCCTCCTACCCTGCTAAGAGCTCACAGGCACCCAAGAGTAAATGATGGAGAGGGAGCGGGTAGGGGAGAATCAAGCTATCACAACCAATTTATTTCTTTTTTCATTAAAACAAAATGAAGGTAGATGGCAGATTGCACATATTCATCTGATCTTAATCCTTCTAAAATCTCCACTAAGATTATGATAAAGAAGTTTTTAAACAAATACTGAAGGACAGGGAAATAAGAGCCAACGAATTCACTGAGAACTGAAATCTAAGTCTGTAGTGGCAGAGCTGAGAACCAGCCTAAAGTGTCTTTAAAAAGATACAACTAGAACTAGGGCTTGGTGGTGAAGGTGGATAAAATAGGGAGGATAAGCAAAAGCTGACAAACAGTTAAATCTTAGGATGATCTCTCTCTCTAGCAGAAGGGGTCTGAGAGTTCAGACGAGCTCAGAGGAGAGGACCACAGAGAGAAGCATACTAGAATGCTGGATACAGACTTTCCTCCCTAGCTGCCCTCTCCCAGGTTAGCCCCCCAGGTTAGCCCCCCAAACACTCTTTACTGGCACGTGTGACCAGCCCAGGAAAAAAGCACCATTCTAACACCGGGGATTCTCACAACAAATACCCACCCTGATGGGTATTAAATTGATTAATACTAAATTGCTAAGTCCTTCCCTCCCCAACACTCAAACTCTCTAACTTTAAAAAAAAAAAAATCCTTCAACTATGCATTCCCCCCACCCAAGTCTTAATGAGCAAACAAGTATTACTTCCTATCCAAGGAAAGCCTCCTATACTGAGACCAAAACAGAGGAAAGAAAAATTTAAGACCAAACAGACAACACAAGGGAATGAATATCCAGAGAAAAGATATAATCAATGAAATAAGAACAAGATGCTATAAAAACAGGAACAGAGAGCAAAGGAATGTTTGAAAATTAAAATAATAGAAATTTAGAAACTCAACAAGAGTTAAAAGATAGTTTCTTCTGCTTTGCTCAAAATGAGCAGAGACAAAGACAGAAACTAGAGCAAAAAGAAGCAGTCCAACACATAACAGAAGCTCTAGAAACAGAAAACAGGAAGAAGACATTCAACAAAGTCAGTCAAGAATATTCCCCAGAACTGACAGATATCCAGTTGCAAGACTGAAAGGGTCCACCACTGTATGCCTAACACAAGAGATAAACACAGAAACCTAACAATGTAAAATTTCTGAACTCTGAAGCCTGAGTAGCTTCCAGAAATAGATATATATGTCTGGTTTTTTAAGTGTCACACACAAGTGAGTAAGAACTGTGACAACTTTGAAATTCAACACGAGAAGCAAGCCGACAATGGAGGAATGCCGTCAAAATCCTAAAGGAAAGTGACTCCCAAGTCAGAATGCTAAGTCCAGACTACCCAGCAGAAGGGCAGACAGTTGTTTTCAGGCATGCCATCTCAAAACAGTTCACTTCCCTTGTACTCTCCTAAGAAGGTGCTAAACCGGAAGTACAAAAAAAGAAAACATGGGATTATAGCAGACTCCAGAGAGGAGAAAAAGAAACCCCAGGAAGATAAGATAAATCCACAACGCCAACTGTGAAGCCAAGGTCAAGCAACCCACACGGGGCAGTGTGACTCGGGAGGCCGTCACTGACACGCACGCCGCCACCACGCTCCTTCATGAGGAAGACAGTGCGCACGGGGGGACTGGCCAGATTCTCAGCAGCACCTCACGTGCCGCCCTTGTAATGAAGCTTCCGCCCTCCCACCTCCATGCTCTGCTGCCTACAACAGCTGTGGGTGATCGCGTTATAACCCCTTCATCCTGAAAGGTTGTTTTACCTACTCCTTTGAGTTGGCAGACTCCCATGGAATTACAGACAGTAACAAACAGTGCAGCTCATCCCATTCTCCTTGACCGTACTTCCGCAAGACATCCATCCACACTAGAAGCCTGCCAGATGCTGACAGCAACACACCTATGTTTCCAGGATGTATGACCTTGCCCAGTGACTTCTTCAAAATAAGCCTTTGTAAAGACTCAGGAAAGCTGAAGGCAGACAGTCTTTTCACTTTTTATTTTCCTACTTTTGACTCCTCAGCTATATTGCATTTTTTCTTTACACAGCTAAGTCTGTGACTGCTATTTAGAGTTTCAAAAGTAAATACTGATTAAGAATTTGTAGGTGCTAAAACTACAGAAAAACATAGAAGTTAAGTGAACTAGACAAAGCCAGGATAGTACTGACACGTCTGGAGAAAAAAGGAGGATGCAATTGAGAAGGGTCACACGGGGCGTCTAAGAGTAATGCTGCAATTTTTAAAAACTTGTACACTAGTGTCCTGTTCTTTCAACTCTACACATTAACTTTTATAAACTTATCTTTATATATGATACTTTACAATGCTAGTAGTAAAACCTTTGAGAAATGGTAAAAAACAAATTCTCCAAATATTTATGACTCATTATTGAGCTCAGCACTTTCCTAAGAATAAACACTGACAAATGGTTTACTATATTTATGACAGTGATTGTCTTGGATACACTGTACCCAACTTTTAAAATAGTAGGTACTAAGCATTAGTCATTACCATACATTTTCATAATACATAATTAGGACTGCTGTTAATTAAATCACACAGTACAGAATGAAGCCAAATCTCTGAAAAAAGAACCAACTTTCTGTCACTTACTTGTCGATGTCTGCCATGTTGTACAAATGCCAAATATCTATGGAGAGAAATATCAATGTTAAAAAAATATATATACAATTCATTTAAAACCAATAAAAACCTCTGAAATCAAATCGATACCATGCTAAAGCTATCTAAAATATATATATACACACTCCCATTAAAAAAGAGTAAGTGTTTAAAAAGCAAGGGGCAGGGAGGCAGAACACTGACACACTCTGCACCCCTCCAAAGGTACTTACTGTCACACCTCTGAGCGCTGCCACGCCCCCAGCTTACCCTGAGCGTGTCAGCTCTGTCCACAATGTTCTCGGTTAGCAGGGCTTCCCTGACGGCTCAGACATCAGACAATCCACCTGCGATGCGGGAGACCTGCGTCTGATCCCTGGGTTGGGAAGATCCCTGGGGGAGGGCATGGCAACCCACTCCAGTGTTCCTGCCTGGAGAATCCCCATGGACAGAGGAGCCTGGCGGGCTACCATCCACGGGGTCCGAAGAGTGGGACACGACTGAGCGACTAAGCAGTTAGGACTGGCCAGAGCATATCCTAGATTCGTTCACACTATAGGATTAGGGTTAACTCAGAGAAGACTGCTTTGAAAAAAACAAACCTCAGGACAAAATGTGTTACATTCATCCAGAAAAACCATGGGTAATGCAGATTTACTTCTTTAATAAACTTAGTTTCTCCACAGCAGGTGTGCCACCAGGACATAGGTGTAAAGACCACCACTAAGCCTGAGCAAAGACGGGGAAGACGACCCAAGTCAACACTGCTGTCACCGGACATGGAGATTCGGAGAAGTCTACCACTGCTGGCCACCTGATCTACAGACCTTGTGGGACTCACCAGGGAACCACGGAGAAGTTCAGAAAGGAGGCTGCCAACATGGGGAAGGGCTCCTTCAAGAACGCCCGGGTCACATCCCAGAATTTTAGAAATAAAAGCAAAAATAAACAAATGGGACCTAATGAAACTTAAAGGCTTTTGCACAACAAAGGAAACTATAAGCAAGGTGAAAAGACAGCCCTCAGATTGGGAGAAAATAATAGCAAACGAAGCAACAGACAAAGGATTAATCTCAAAAATATACAAGCAACTCCTCCAGCTCAATTCCAGAAAAATAAATGACCCAATCAAAAAATGGGCCAAAGAACTGAACAGACATTTCTCCAAGGAAGACATACAGATGGCTAACAAACACATGAAAAGATGCTCAACATCACTCATTATCAGAGAAATGCAAATCAAAACCACAATGAGGTACCATTACACGCCAGTCAGGATGGCTGCTATCCAAAAGTCTACAAGCAATAAATGCTGGAGAGGGTGTGGAGAAAAGGGAACCCTCTTACACTGTTGGTGGGAATGCAAATTAGTACAGCCACTATGGAAAACAGTGTGGAGATTTCTTAAAAAGCTGGAAATAGAACTGCCATATGACCCAGCAATCCCACTTCTGGGCATACACACCGAGGAAACCAGATCTGAAAGAGACACGTGCACCCCAGTGTTCATCGCAGCACTGTTTATAATAGCCAGGACATGGAAGCAACCTAGATGCCCATCAGCAGATGAATGGATGAGGAAGCTGTGGGACATATACACCATGGAATATTACTCAGCCATTAAAAAGAATTCATTTGAATCAGTTCTAATGAGATGGATGAAACTGGAGCCCATTATACAGAGCGAAGTAAGCCAGAAAGATAAAGACCATTACAGTATACTAACACATATATATGGAATTTAGAAAGATGGTAACGATAACCCTATATGCAAAACAGAAAAAGAGACTCCGATGTATAGAACAGACTTGTGGACTCTGGGAGAAGGCGAGGGTGGGATGTTTCAAGAGAACAGCATCGAAACACGTATATTATCTAGGGTGAAACAGATCACCAGCCCAGGTTGGGTGCATGAGACAAGTGCTCGGGCCTGGTGCACTGGGAAGACCCAGAGGGATTGGGTGGAGAGGGAGGTGGGAGGGGGGACCGGGATGGGGGATACATGTAAATCCATGGCTAATTCATTTCAATGTATGACAAAAACCACTGCAATGATGTAAAGTAATTAGCCTCCAACTAATAAAAATAAATGAAAAAATAAAAAATAAAAAATAAAAAAAAGCAAAAAAAAAAAAAGAACGCCCGGGTCTAGGAGAAACTGAACACTCAACACTGAGTGATTATCATCAATGATATCTCCGTGTCCGTTTAAGACCAGCAAGTACTCTGTGACCACATCTGACGCCCCAGGACACAGTGGTTGATTAGCCACTAAGTTGTGTCAGACTCTCTTGTGACGCCATAGACTACAGCCCACAAGGCTCCTCTGTTCATGGGATTTTGCTTTTCATGGGATTGCCCAAGCAAGAAGACTGGAGTAGGTGGCCATTTCCTCCAGGGGATCTTTCCAACCCAGGAATCAGACCCACAGCTCCCCCACTGGCAAGCATATTCTCTATCACTGAGCCACCGAGAAAGCCCCCCCCAGCACACAGAGAGTTCATCAGAAACAACTACAGGCACGCTCTGGTGCCTGTGCTGGTGAATTTGAAGCTGGTCTTTCCAAGAAAGGGCAGACCACGAGCAGGCCCTTCTGGCTTCCTTTCTGGGTGTGGAACCTTCGTTACACTGCAGGTAACGAAATGGACTGCACTGTGCCACCCTACACCCAGAAGTGATAACCGCCCAAGTCGTCAGCACCTCCATTAAAAAAACCTGGCTACAATCCCAACACAGAAGCATCTGTGCCAATTTCTGGTTGTCATGGTGAACAACATTGCTTGAATCAAGTGCTACGATGCCTTGGTTCAAGGGATGCCAAGTCACCCATAAAGATGGCAATGCCCATTGAACCACACTGCCTGAAGCTCTAGACTGCACCCTGCCACCAACTTGCCCAACTGATAAGCCCTTGTCTTTGCTCTTCCAAGATGTCTACAAAATTGGTGGTACTCGTACTGTCCCTGTGGGTCAAACACTGGTGTTCTCAAACCTGGCAATGTGGTCACCTTGCTCCAGTCAAGCAAACAACTTAAGTCTTTTGAAATGCACCATGATGCTTTGAGTAATGGCCCTCCTGGGGACAATGTGACCTTCAAGAACATGTCTGTCAAAGATGTTCTTCGTGGCAATGTGGCTGGTGACAGCAAAAATTACCCACCAATGGAAGCAGCTGGCTTCACAGCTCAGGTGACAATCTTGAAACATCCAGGCCAAAATCAGGGCTGGACTGTCACACAGCTCTACTGCAAGCGTGCTGAAGACTGGGCGTTCTGGGAAAAAGCTAGAAGGTAGCCCCGAATTCTTGAAATCTGGTGATGCTGCCATTATTGATATGATTCCTGGCAAGGCCATGTATGTTAAGAGTTTCTTGGACTATCTATCTGCCTCTTGGCTGTTTTGCTGTTCGTGACATGAGACAAGCAGTTACTGTCAGTATTAAAGCAGTGGACAGAGACGGCACCTGGAGCTGGCAAGGTCACCAAGTCTGCCCAGAAAGCTCAAGGCTACATGAGTACTACCCCCAATACGTGCCACCCCAGTCTTAGTGGTGTTTGTCTCAACTGGCCATTAAGTTTTTACAGTAAAAGTCTGGTTAATGGTAACTGCATTGCAAAACCTTCAGAAGAGTGTTTTGTGAACCATTAGTTTTGTGTGTGGCAGTTTTACGTTATTAGCTTCTAAAGTCAGTACTTTTTAATGGAAATGACCAAAAATCTGTCACGGAATTTGAGACCCATTTAAAAAGTTTAATGAGGAACAAAACAAAAAAAAGGCTTAGACTCCCACATTGAAATCAGTTTTTAATGTTTGGAGAATTAAAACCTTAATCTTTAAAAAGCATTTTACTTATTAACCTGGCTGCACCGGGTCTCAGTCGTGGTGCGCAGACCTTCGCTGGCCATGCGGCACGCTGGACCCCCGGCTGCGGCACAGGGCCTCCAGAGCACAGGCTCGGCAGCCGTGGCCCACAGGCGTCTGTGCTCCACGGCATGTGGCGTCTTAGCTCCACAACCTGGGATCAAACCCACATCCCTTGTATTGCAAAGTGGATTCTAAACCACTGGGCCACCAGGGAAGTTCCAAAACCTTAGTCTTTCACTCACAAAAAGTGACAAGATTTGATTCCTCATATCAATATGCTTAACACGCTTTTCACTTGAAAAAACTGAGTTACTGATTTTAGCAGTCAAATGCTACTCTTTGGAGCATTATTACTAATACAGCATCAATCCTTTAGACAATTATAAAGGAAATAATTCTTCCTACTGTAGCCTACTCTAATTTTAAATATTTTCTACTTACTGTAAGTAATCTCTTAACAGCACTGATGTATTTCTCTAGCGATGCTGGTTAGTTAAGTCAGCATTAACAAAACACATAGCAAAAAACTGTGAATATGCTAATTCAAAAATAATGAATCAAACAAAAGTGGGCTTCAGATCTATCAGATCTGCAAGGGTTTTCTTTTAATGCAGGGAAAAGTATGGTGAATATGCATTCTCAAATACGGCTACTGTTTATATAAATGATTTTCTTTCCTTGAGTGATGTATTTTTGGTGGTGCTGGGTCTTCACTGCTGCACACAGGCTTTCTCTAGTTGTGGTGAGTGGGGGCTATTCTCTTGCTGTGACTCTAGAGATTGTGGCAGGTGGGTTGAGTTGATCCAGCCATGTGGAACCCTCCTGGACCAGGGCACAAACCCATCTCCCCTGAATCGGCAGGCAGATTCTTAACCACTGCATCACCAGGGAATTCCATAAACTGTTATATTTCTGGAGATCAATTTGGCTATGGGAATAACAAACACTTTAAACACGTCCATCTCCAGACTTAGTTATCCAATTTGTGAGAACCTACTCTGAAAAAAAAAGAAGTAAAGGATCTAAGGGCCTGTACACGCGTCATGTTTGTCTAATAGGTTCTTCTAAAATCTAAGTCCTACATGTTCTTTGACTCTCAGCTCGAAGTTTTAGTTTTTCAAGACAAAACAGACTGGCACTGACTCCTTCAGAGATGCCTTCTCC